AAAAAAATAAAGTGAGGGGGGGGGGGGAGGGGGGGAACGACAACAAGAGAGACTGCATCATGAGCTTGTTCCACAACTGGAGAAAGAAAAATGACACCTGAAAACAAGACAATTTCTAAAATTCTCCAGCAATGGCTTTGGACCATCTTAAAATTTCTTTCCTAAGGCTATGAATCTGTTAAGCTAAGAAGGAAAGATCCATGAGGACATCTGAATGTAAATCTAAAGGGCATGAAGAAATACAGCTACACTGTCAGCAATAAATCTTTGATGATATACTACTAAAGAATAATACATTCAAAAGTGGTTTGTAAATACAGTCCTTCCTATGTACCTTTAAGTAGGCAGTCATCTGCAGATAACCAGTCTATCAAACAAAACCAACTGAAATCAATGAGGCGATTTTCCTATATAAATTATGCTTTTTTTTAACTTCTGAGTTTATGTCAGCATTACAGAATGCACATTCAAAAACTCCATCTTAAAATAAGTTTATTCCAACCAACTTTTCTGTTAGTCATGACATCCTTTAAGTCTGCACTAGCTCTCAAAAGCACTGGTTTAAGAGAGCAGCATTACAAATTACACTTTTCTTTTGCTTCAGTTACTATTCTGCTGGGTCCTAAGAAGATTGTTCAACATTGAAACATATACAAATATAAAAAAGCCTTTTTCAGTAATCTTTCATTGTTAAAGCTGTCCATTAATTTGCACATCAATAGAAACAATTAGAAAAATATGGGTAACTAGTTATAACATATGATTCATAATATATTAATTTCTCTGTTGGAATGTTTGTCAGCCAGTCAAGATTGCTTTATTTTCTCAAGCTTTTGTAACAGTGGTTAAAGACAGCAGGGGGAGGGAGAGCATATTTAACAGTTTTATAGTAGTTTCCCCACAGCTACTGCACTCATACAATATCCCTGCAAATACCATTACTTCATTTGGCACATTTTGCACAGAATCTGGAATTTCAATTACTTGTCAAATTTCTTTTATTGTAAACTACTTTTTTTACTATATATCACACAATAGTCAAACTAATAGCAAATCTAAGGGGACACTTTAATGGTGAGGAACTCAAAGTATGAAACAAATTATTCTGGTATCTAAAATAACTTTCCAGTACAAAGCAACTCCTACACACATATGGTAGTAATTTGAAAAACTATCTTTTATTGGATTCTGGATAATAATGGCATATGCTTTTTGTAGGTCTCTTGCTAAACAAATTGCTCACAACATAATTCTTGAAGAAATTAAAATGCTTTGCGTGTTTCCAGTTATAT